AACAATTGTAGTCCGAAATGAAGAAAATGATAATATCTTTCAAAATGGGTAGAATCAGCCACAGCTTCGGTCTTTACCTTTAAAAGGTATGGCACTGCATATGTCCCTACCTTTTACAGTTGATAGTGCTGTGAATTTTCTCTTTGTGTAGAAACACATTTCCGTTCGTGTATCATCATGTAAGGGTTGAAGGAAGCAATACTTACCTTTCTAAAGGCCACATTTAATTAACCCAACATGAATCCAGTTTATTGTTATCAGTTTTGTCAACTCATCTGCCTTGACAATGTTTCAAAGAAACATACATTCCAAGCTGCAGCAAAGGCATTGGGTTGCTTCAGAGGCTAGTTGCAGTGGCTTTTCCAGTGATGACAGTTACTGTGGTTAGAAAAATATGGCCCTCAAACAAATAGACTGTCTTGGACGGAAAAGAGCAGATACGGATCAAATGGTTTTCAATGCATTCCTGTGGGAAATGCAGATTTGACCTGAGAACTTTTTGACTTGAGAACTGCCTTCCAATACGGATTAAGTTCTCAAGTCAAGACCCCACTGTACATTCCAAGCTGCAGCAAAGGCATTGGGTTGCTTTATGCCTTCAGAGGCTAGTTGCAGTGGCTTTTCCAGTGATGACAGTTACTGTGGTTAGAAAAATATGGCCCTCAAACAAATAGACTGTCTCAGCGCAGATAACTTTATTTAGAAGTAAGGAATCTCATTGCAATTAGAGGCGCAGAGCGACAAGAGTCCGGGAGTCTCTTGTGGCCTAAGACAAATTGTTCATACAGTGATAGGCATTTTATAGGCTTGATACAGAAATTGTTTGTGCCCTTTGTTGCTTTCTTAATCTCCAGGGTACATTGGGACTTACCAGTTGTGGTCAACTATTTCTCAACATCATGCTGTCAGCTATACATTTCCTTTGCTACAGCGCATATCTCGCCGCTTTCCATCTTTCCCAGTTGTCCTTAATGACCTCATCAAGGCCTCCTTTCATGAACCAAACTCTGCTCTGGGCACCAGGCTTACATGCTGTTTATATCCCAAATTTTTGCACTCTCACGCTGTTGTCTATTAATGGAAACTTTTCTTAGTGGACCAATTTGTTTTTAAAAGGCAATATTGATTTATTGCTCTGAGTCTTCGGTTGCACACCCTGGCACCATCTTACATTCTTTTCATCTGTGTAGTGTGGGCACTCAGAAGGTCTCTAGGGCCCAAGGCAGATGTATAATTCTGAGCCCCGCCACAACCCTCCTTCCCTGAATCAGGCAACCCTGGTAGAAAGTAAAGGGTATGCAGTGTTAATGCTTTCTAGGAGGAAGAGTTGGGCAGAAGAGCATTTCTCTATGACAGAGAAAACAAATGCTTGTGTTCGTTGACCATCAGTATTCATACTTTGCCCAACACTAAATACATCACAAACGTTTATGGCATATTTATAATACTTGGTCTCTAAAGGCACACTTTAGGTCCTCCTTTTATTTCTATGTGGGGCTGCCTATGTGTCAGGAAACTTCAGCAGGTGCAAAATGCAGCAGCCAAAGTGCAAACTGGGGCTGGACACAGAGATCTCTCTCTCTCTCTCTCTCTCTCTCTTTCTCTATCTTGCAACTTTTTTGGTGAAAAATTGGAATGAAGTGGAGAATGTGAGCGCGCGTGCACACACACACACACACACACACACATTACAACCGCTGACTGCTGATCCATTTCTAGGCAGAATTCAAGTGATGATTCTAGCCTATAAAGCTCTAAATGCCTTGGGCCCAAGCTATCTCAGGGGCCATATCTCCCTCTCTGAGCCTGCTCAAGTGTTAAGATCATCAGGAGAGGCCTTCCTCTCATTCCCGCCACTTTGGTGGGGACACGGGAGAGGGCCTTCTCTGTTGCTGCTCCCAGACTTTGGAATTCCCTCCCACAGGAGGCTAGGCTGGGCCCCATTTGAATTTGCAGTCTTTCTGGAAGCAGGTGAAAACCTTTCTCTATAAGTAAGCTTGAAGCCTGTGTGAATGGCTGACATGTGGGTTTTTTTAAAAAAAATGTATTGTTGTACTTTACTGCAATAAATGTATTTTGGTGTTGATTATGCGTTTTGTTGTTGATGTTTTGGTTTTGTATTCATGGAACCTTTTAGTGTTGTATAATTGTTACCAAGTTAAATACTGTCTTTTAATTGTTGTAAGCCACTCTGGGTCCTTTTTAAGAAGAAGGGCAGGTTAAAATATTTAAATAAATAAACATTTTTATTTTATTCTGGAACAAATGGTGAAGAGCAAGTGTAAAGTGCCACAGGGCATGGGAATTGTCCTTAATGCCAGTGTAAACTGGCATTTTATGTGAGCATCATTTTATTACTGGCAAACATAAACATGATGCAATGCTACACTGATAAATAAGAGAGCTCCAGGTATCTTTTGGGCAGAATTGAGAGAGCATGATCATCTTTTCATCTAAACCTTTGCTATTGATTTGGAAAGGAAATACTTTGTCGGGGTGGGAGGGACTTCCATTGGCTGACTATCTGATGTACTTTCTCCTCCCTTCATCTCCAGTTTATGATGATATCTTGCTCAGCACCCCCATCTGTTTTATATGCAAGGTAAAACTGGGTCAATGTTTTTTTAATGAGATACACCAACCTAATAAAAGAAGCAAAATCGAGTTGAAATCTGTGGCTTAGATCCTTACTCTCCTTCCACTAATGGAACAAGCCCTGTTTATGGAATGTGTGTGCCCCATTATTCCCTACTATTTGCAGCACCTTCACCCCCCAATGGGCTGGGGTTAATGGTACCCATGGGGATGATGTGGAATAAATGACATGTGGCTATAAATTGCAGAAATCTCTCTCACACACACGCTCACACACACACACAAAATTCCTGCAATTTTAATTTTCTGAATTTCAGCAGTTTTCCAATGAGTTTTAACAATCACTGTTAATTACAATGTGTCTCTGTGGGTTTTCAAGCCTGTACCCTATTTCCAGTTATTAGCAATTTCTATTATGTTTTCTTTTGTGTGTTTCCTCCAGTTCTGGTTCCCACTATGTGACTTAATGGGTTTTGTTAAATCAGGGAAGAGTTAAGTCTGGCCCTTGATGTAATGATGGGCAAGCAATATCCAGACCCACTTTACTGCTGTGGCACGTTAACTGGAATTTTGAAGGGCAGGAGGGAAATATCAACTAGAGTAGGGCTTTTGTGTAATATGTACTCTGCACAGTAAACAGCAGTGATCCAACTAAGCCCTGATTGTGTGTGCTAATCCCCATACTATTTGCAGATGTCATACAGCTAGCAGGATATAAATGTGGTGAGGAGGAGAGGGCAAATCCTTGTATTTCTGAAAAAGCAGAAAAAAATGCACAAAACTGTGTTCATATTGTGAAAATATGCACAACAATGTATATATTTGAAAAGTGGATTCAACATACTTTAGCCAAACAGAAAAGGAAACTAAAATGCCTGCGTTGGTTTGAAAACATCATACAGAACGCATACCTTTTCAGGAAAATGTAAAAAATATACCTATTTCTTTGAAGGGGAATGAGTCTAGCAACCAAATGTTTAACTCAGATGGAGCAAGAATAGCAGGAGGATTCTGACAGAGATAAGTAAAATGAGATAGATGAACTCTTAGCATCCTCACGCCCACTACAACTGTTTAGTTTTGAAAAATAAATTGGGTTCATAAACTCCCATTGTGCTCTCTAGGGCAGTGGTTCCCCACCTTTTCCCAACTGTGGACTGGTTGAGGGGGCGTGGCACGCTTGCGTGGGGGCATGGCATACTTGCGGGGGAGGTGGCACACCTGTGAGGGGAGCGTGCTTGTGCACATGCACGGGGGTGCTTGAGTGCATGCACGGCAGCATGGCAGGAGATCTGTATCCGCGGCCTTGTCCTGTCTAGGCCGCGGACTGCTGCCAGGTCGCGGACCGGGGGTTCGGGACCCCTGCTCTAGGGGACAAGGAGTATCTTGCCTTTTTATAAATTTTCAATTTTATAATTTATTTATAGGGTGGTGTTTTCGCGGACTGCTGCCAGGTCGCGGACCGGGGATTTGGGACCCCTGCTCTAGGGGACAAGGGGTATCTTGCCTTTTTATAAATTTTAAATTTTATAATTAATTTATAGGGTGGTGTTTTTGTTGTTTTTTTGAGTGTTTTTTTTTTTTTTTTGAGTGGAGGGGTAGCATCTGTAGGCTTCCATTCTCCCCCACCACCACCACCCTCCACGCAGAGCAAGAGAACAGGAGAAGAAGCGGGGTGGGTGGGATGTAAAACAGTAAAAATATTAGGTGTATCTTTTGCACAAAATAGACATCAGAAATAGAAATACCTGGAAACCAGTGGGCAAACACTTCACCCTTCCTGGACTTCCTTGCTTAGACCTCAAAGCTGCAGTTCGTGCAAGAATACGCCAGAAGTTCAGCACACACACTCTGGGCCTTAACAAAGGCAAGAGTTACCTGTGTCATTAGATACATTAACTCAGTCATCTAGGCCTTTATCACACAGTCAGAACCTCGATTAACACAATTATGATGGAATTTGCTGATCCTTCCCTGTCAATAATTTTAAACTTCTCCCAGAGAACAGCCACTCCATTTATCTGAAGAAATATGTTTGGACACATGAAAACTAGTGAAAAATTAAAAACTAAGTCTGAATGGTGCTAAAAGACTTCTGGTTTCGCTTGTGCTGCCGCAGACTAACACAGCTACTAGTCTGATATTTGTTTCCTTGTCGGTGACACAACCCAAGTCATAGGAACGCTGGTGGAGGAAGAAAAGTGGTGCATTGCTGAGTTCATTTCCTTAGCTCTTATAGATTTAGTGCCCTTTCCTTTAGTTCTATTACCTTGCTAGACCCTATTCAGATCTGATGTCAGTTTTTAAATCCATATCGCATTGTTTGCATTACAGTATTTGTATGAGAGTCACACTGATTATACCTTGTGAATAACTCCTATAATTATCTGGTTCTTTCCTTCTAGTCAGCCAGCAGCTAATAAAACACATTCACCAGTTTTTGGAAAACAGGGGGCCTCTGTACTATATGAAAAGCATTGACTGCATAAAGGTTTTCAGAGAGGAAGCGATAAAGGTAACATGAGATACTGCATTCGGTGCTGGGACTTGGGAGTGGAATGTGGCCAAGCATCCTTGTAGTCAAAATACAATAGACAGCATCAAAAAGGGGGCACAGAATGCATTTGTTTTGGGTATGCTAGACACTTAAAAGATGCTTCGGTATCGTATATTTTGGTCTTTGGCCCCTGTTTAAGGTATAGCTGGGTTCTACTGGGCTTTTGAAAAGAAGAAGGAAAATGGCTGCAACCTGTTAGATGAAGAGGAAGCTGTACCATTCCCAAATAATGTCTTTAAAAAACCAAATAACAAAAGAAATAGTACTGCTTTGTGAAATGTCATTTCTTTAGTGACTCACCACACATTAGAAGTTTGCTTCTAAGCAAAGCCAGATGAATTGAATGTGCAGTAGATTGAAATGCTTCACTGCCTGTCTCTCCCCGCAGCCTCTGTTTTCAGACAGGGTGTTATGATGAATTAAGAATATGTTGTCACTTGGGTGTCAAGCTCACTTTTATTTTTCTGTGTTGTTCCTTTGTTGTTGTTGTTGTTGTTTCAGCTGTCAGAAGTGCAATGTTTTAATGATTTTCTGGAGGCTCTGAAAAAAAAGGTAGAAGACAAAAACTTAACCGATTTCTGGGAGATTATAATACAAGGTATGTCAAACATTATTTACAGTGTGCTATGCAAAGGCTTGATGCTTAGAAGATGGGAAATTTGAGGAGGAAAATTGCACTTCTTTCCGGAAAAAATAATTGGTGAAGTAAAGATGCAGACTGGTATCACTTCAGCAGAGAACCTAAATAAAAGCAGGGTTTGTTGCTTTTTAAAATATAGATTTTTAGAATGGTAACAAGTGGTATGTGTACAATGAAAGGGGAGAGTGCTCAGATGAGGGAGCTGAGTTGGATCCAGACTTTCTGTTCCACCAGTGGAAATGTGGCCAAGTGGAGTTCTGTTTACGAACCCTTCTAATTGGTGGAAACCAGAGCAGCAGCAGTCTTTGTTTAAAAGAATTCCACAAATCTTTGGAGCACATTTACAAAGGTTAGAGGCGGCATGAGGAGGAGCTGGGTGAATCAGCAGACTGATTCCTCTTCAGTTCAGCCAGCACACACACAAAAAAAACACTTGATCAAAAGACACACACACACACACACACAAACACTTGATCAGAATCCTCCAGGAGATAGAAGGGACCCTTCTGGCTATAGAAGTCCTCTGTTGGATCCCATGTATTAGTGGTAATAAACTGCACCAATTGTATACATACACTGCTCCAAAATAACACAGTCTATTCAATGGATGCCTTTGGACATAGGGAACAAAACCAATTTATGTTGTATCTCATTAGTCTGGGGACAGTTAGGATATTTGCACGGTTACATGATGTGCTTATATAGTCTTAGATAGAAAGTAGTAGGCTTTTCTAGGGTTGCTGCCTTGGCCACTTGACTTCCTGTTCAGCTGCTCTTGTTACCACTTCATATGTATAATCACAACATGTTCCTGTTGCTTATAATAGACTTGGGAAGAGCAAATCCCATGTTCCGTGATTGCCGAATTATGTACTCTTTGTAATGACAAATTCCACATTTGTCCAGAGCTGGGATAACCTTTGATTTATGAATACTGACTAATGAAGTTTGAGTTAAGGGGAGTTCCATTATCATGGGAGTTCAGCTTCAAGAGAGAAAAACTAAGCAATGAAAGTTATGTCTGTTGTCGCAGATGATGGCTTGGAAGTTTCGTTCATAACTTTACATATTCATGGATCTTGAAAACAATTAATAGATCTTGTGGATTTGAATGTCAACCCCATGGGTTCTGCTACCTTATTGACCAGGTCAATCCCCCGGTCAGTGCCTTAGTATTTCTCTTTGTGAAATGGAAAGGGTGACACTAATTTTAATAAAAGGCATGTGAAGACTCACAGTGTAGTACAAAATACAGTTTCTTTCTATTGCTATGAACAAAAAAATGGCTCTTGTATTTAACTGGCATAGGAGAGTCATACCTCCTCTCTCATAAATATCCCTATCCTTGACTAAGCCTCCCTGTCTCTAATATCTTTGTGAGGTGTCCTACTGTCACCACTACCTCATTTCTTGTCACTCAGTTTTCCTGAGCGCCCCTTCTTCTGATGACCTTTCTACACCACAGCCTTCTTTGTCTCCTTAGGATTTCTGTGAAGTTTTTTGTCTGCTTCTTTTCATCTTGGCCTCTGTTCCGTCTCTCTGAATTTCAAACCATGCAATGTAGGTCTGATGTTGTTCTTGGTCCATGCAAAGGCTTTTACCATATAGTTCCACTTTAACTTTTTGGTCTGGAATATTCACTCCCCGGAGCCATTCTGCTTGGGTCTTTCTATCCATAGACCTTACGTGAAGTTTGAATTTCAGCTGAATACAGCTTTCTCTTGCATCACTTCAAAATTTTAATTAGCAGAATGTGACCAGTCTCCCCTGTTCAGAATTTAAATTTTTCATAGATGTAGAATGTTTAGGTAATGGAAAAGTAACTTTGGATGAAGGAAATACCCAGCAATGTGGAACATGTGCTAACTATGGAACTTTATTAATCAGCTCTGGACAAATTGTTGACATTCAAGGAGGGTGCTAGAGTATGAAGATTCCTAATTCTCCAAGGAGGAATACAATAAGAAACATTGTGTAACTAACACAAATTGTTGCAAAAGGTGTGGCTGTTACAGTAATGTGGACAGAAAAGTATGATTCTCCATGTTGTTTCTTTAGCATATTTTCAAAGTCCAGGTGCAGAAAAAGTGAAAGCAAATTGCATTGCTCACAGATAAAATCCACCCAGTGTCTACAATCTAGATATATGACAGGGAACAAGTTAGGGTGCAAGAGTGACTCAGAATATTAATTGACTGTGTTTAAGTTGAATAAATATTAACTGTGTAATGTTCATGTGTTGGGAGTGTTTCACTGTAATGGGAGTTCAGGTTACAGAGAGAAGAGACCAAGGAATGAAAATTGTTTCTGTGTTGCCAAAGATGGCGGCTTGGAAGAGCCATTCATAACTGTCGTGAATATAAAGATTTAGTGAAAGTAGAAATGCTGTTGAAGAGAACAAATAAAATTCCCAAGGGTTCTTGTAAAGAAACAAGATAAATATCAAACAGAATTGTCTTCCTTGTAAGCTGTTATTTTCCCAAAGAGACATTTAGTGAGTTAATGTGGAAGACCATTGCAGTGCAACCATATCTATAAACCAATTAACATATCAACTGCCAATTTTCATTTCTTTATCCATGTTGGACTAAATCAGCATTCTTCTAGCTGCATTCTCCCCAGGCTTTTTAGCCTCTAGTGTCCTCAGACTGAAAAACTGTTGTGTATAACCCAAAGGCTTTTCCTGAGTGCCCTCAAAATGTTATGGTCTAGACAAAAAAATATATATAAAGAAACCTTATTATTTGTACTGTGGAATGAATGTTAATTATGGTACATGATGATACTCAACTTGTTTGTGAGAGCTATGTTATTCAAGTGACATCCCCCCACCCCAAATGTGCTTTGTGATGGCAAAGCCTTGGTCCATTAACTCTTTTACTAATATCATTAAGTAGGGTGATTTTGTAATATTGTACGTCTTCGGTTACTTTTAGATAAAATTTCCTTGATCACTAAAGATGAAGCTGGAGGAAGCTCTGTGACAGCGGAAGATGCCAAAAAGGTATTTGTAAAGATTCATTTTTAGAAGTGAGATATGCCACTTGGCTAGTAGGGACGTGGTGGCGCTGCGGGCTAAACCGCAGAAGCCTGTGCTGCAGGGTCAGAAGACCAAGCAGTCGTAAGATCAAATCCATGCGATGGAGTGAGCTCCCATCACTTGTCCCAGCTCCCGCCAACCTAGCGGTTCGAAAGCATGCAAATACAAGTAGATAAATAGGGACCACTTCGGTGGGAAGGTAACAGCGTTCCGTGTCTAAGTCGCACTGGCCATGTGACCACGGAATATTGTCTTCGGACAAACGCTGGCTCTATGGCTTGGAAACGGGGATGAGCACCGCCCCCTAGAGTCGAACACGACTGGACAAAAATTGTCAAGGGGAACCTTAACCTTAACCTTAACCTATGCCACTTGGCAGAGCAAGGTTTTGCAGGAGGCTTGCGGTGATCTGGTTCAGCAGATGGAAACCTGGTGGTGTGATCCCATCTTTAGGCCACATGAAATCCATTTGGTTGTGCCAAAATAGTGTGCTCTTTACCTGCTATGCACATTCCTGTGAGATCTGCTGGCATATTCCTGCCACTGGTTGTCTTCTGAATCCATCAGCTGTTTTGTCTCCTGGGCTTCTAATTACGTCCATCAAACAAGGTGTTTCACTTTATATCCAGTTCCTCCTTTTTAAAACCCTGTTACAAAGATACAGGATCTACCCAGGATGAGTCTTGCTACATCTGGCACACGGCGGATTCTGTCTTCCTCTGCTATTTAGATTCTTCCTGTTGATGTATGAAAAATACTTTGAGCAGCAAACACTTTGTGGCAGCAGGAAAATGCCTTCAGACAATAGTGATTTGTATTTTAGGGATTTCAGAAATTTGGTGTCCCTTTTTCCTTTTGTGGTATCCGGTAAAGTGGGCTACAGTCCACAAAACCCACTATCAAATAAACCTTATTAGTCTTTCAGGTTCACAAGACTCTTGGTTGTGTTTAGGAATTAGTTGTTGTTTTTTGTCATCTTTCCACACACATTGAGAAAGTTGGTCTGTTCAGAAGCACCTTGGTCTTAGAAGCAAATATGAAGCCACATTGTTAAGAAGAGCTACTGTAGCTGCCATTCAGTGCCTGTTGTTCCATGGCAGTACATAGTTGTTCTCTATTGACCACACATGAGATTTGACTTCTCAGCATCATAGATAGTCGGCTGTTCTTCAGTGCCGCCTCCTTCATGCCCTCCAAACTGTTTGCTGTATAATTATGGGGACTGTAGTCCAACACATCAGGAGGCCACCAAGCAGTGAAGATTTCCTTTAAAATGTTAATAGCTCTTTCAGGCCACAAAACAGAAGGCATTTCCTGGAGGTGCCCTTCTGTCAGACCTCACATCCAGGCAAGTAATGACTTTTCAAGGCCATTGCCGTTGAGGTTGGATGTTTCCTGAAGAAAAACATGGGAGCAGGAGGCTCATTCAGTACATTCGGTTCCTTGGAGGAAATGCATGTGTTTTTATTACTTTCTCTTTGGAATCGGTCTGAGTATACAATGAAAGGCAATAGCAGACTGAACTAAAAGACTTCTAGATTGTATCAATTCAGACTTCAAGTGGGGGAAGTCTATTTTTTAAAAAATATCCTCCCCCCCCTTTTTTAAAAAAAATATATGTCTTCTCCAAGAAGCTTCCCATAGTTGTACTCTGAATTGACAGTCAACTCTTCCAGCTCAATTCCTGTCTGATTCTGCTGCAGTTCAGGGCTTAGGGCTGATTTTTGTGTATAGTTCCTATGAAAAGTCCTTACTTTCCTTGAAAGAGAACTGGCATTTTTGCAGCAGAACACCCATCCTGACCACTGATTACTGGCATGCTAAGTTAATGTATAGATGTGTCAGTGCCAAGTGCTTTGCTGGGACACGGGCTTTTCCCCATCACCCATATCCTGTATAAACCGGAGCTTCGTCTCTTGGATTGAGAGCACTCAGTACAGCTCCCAGAATTCCCCAGGCTGAAGACCAAAAACATAAAACTGCATGTCTCGAGTCTTCCCTAAGGCAGTGTGTTCTTCAGAGACAAAGGGAAGGAATGTGCCTCTTTAGAACACCGAGATGATCATGTTAAACAGACCTGCCAAGCACATCCTGTTGTTACCTTGAGGAAAGTAATGGATTTCAGTATCACTATTACACGTAATTTTGTTTCTACATAAATGTAAAACAGATATTGTCAGGAAAGAGGGAAAAAATTAAACTGCTGAGACTTTCAAGTGCTTTCTAGATGGAAAGTTTTTTTTAAAAAAAAAGTTTAATTGTGTTGCTAAGCAATTTCTCATCCTCTGTGTCTTCTGATGTGTTGTTTACATCTAATTTAGTGCCAGAATGCCACTTTAGAGGCCTCACAGCAAATAAGTAACTTTCAGAAATACCATTTTACCTTAATTAACTATGTAAAAATGGGATTTGCTCCAGTGGAGAAAAGCTTTTTAAAATTGACAGCTTGCTTTTACTTCAATATTGCCTGTACTGTACAATAACGGCATTACATTCAGTGTCAGGGAAAAAGAAGCGCACAGGCATGATGTGTGGAGACTGTGCAATCTTCCCTGCTTGTATAACCTTCGCAAGTCTGTGATGCTTTTTACTCCAGAAAGCCAGAACATCTAGGCAGCCTTATGAGTGAAGCACTACTTTTAGGGTAATGTCTGCCTCCAGCTTTGGGGATGTGCAAGCTTTGGATACTGATGCAATTCAAGCGATTGTCAGGTACAAAAATAGCAGCCCAAAGCACAATGGCATTTGTCTCATTTTGGAAGCCCACACTAATACTTTCCTACTAAATTAAATTTCTGTTCACATTGTGGCAGAAAAATTGGATTGGAATCAAGTTCATAACTTAAAAAAAAAAGAAATTAGGTTGGATGCAGGCATTCCTATGCTCTGAGGCTGCGTGTTGCTAACTTGACTGACTTATGTATGTCCTTGGATGCTTCAATTGCCCCTTCTAACTCAGCCAACAGGGTTTTGCTTCTTCCTGTTCCTTGTGGCCTTGAGGACTGAGTACATTGCCCTTTCTTATCTGGAGATAAATTCTTTCAGCCACTTAATTCTCAGTATAATTCTGTTCTTTTGTACTCTTTCCCCTAAAGATTGCTCCCTTAAAGTACTTCCTTAGATGGCACTCAACAGGTTTTATGAGAAGCAAGACAAAGCTACTCTTACCCCTGCATATTGGAGTTGTTAAAGTAGTTTGTGGTTGAGGAAAGTTGTTGAACAGAGAATCATCTACATGCCATTCCGAGTTTATGAGGTTTGGAGTCTCCTCTTTTTCACATGTTCTGCTTTAGCCCAAGGCGTCTTAAATAAAATTTATTTGGTTTTGTTTTGCAGTGCAGACTTAGTTGTCCCGTATTTGGTTTTACATATTTGGCAGTCCTTTTCTGCATCTGACATTGATAATTAGTTAGTGGAACTCCTAGCAGCTTAAGAGCTCTTAACAGTTCTTTTCTAATGTAATTATATTTCCTTTTCTCCTTTTTTTAGTATTATGTACAGTATTGCAGTCCAACCCCAACCTGGTGTGGCACCGACCACTCAGTAAACTGAAAGCTGCTTTGTTTGTTTGTTTGATCATTGCTGTAGATAATGAACAATCTGAATCCATTACTTGATCACTTTCAAACTTACTTGGTTTGCAGTTCCTGGCTCCCAAAGAAAAACTAATGGATATTTCCCCAGTGGCTGATGAAGGTGGCGATGTTGATGATCTTGTAAGTGTCTTAAATAAATCTTCCAGCATTATTATTGGAATAGCTGGGTTGCATCAGGGAAAGTTACTTGTAGCATGAAAACAAGGATGAATGAACACAAGTGTATGTTATGCTTCCGGTGCTGTAGAGCAGAGATGGCCATTGGTGGATTGCATAGTACATCCAGCTATCAAACCCACTATCTCAGCTGAGACATGCCATTCAGCATGCAACAGATAATGTTTATGGAGATTTCTTAATTTACGGCAATTTGTGTCTAAAAACTATGTCATTTGTGTAACTGCACAACAGGGTTTCAGTAATTACATGGCAAGTATTGCAGTCATTTCCATTCGTTAAATGTGCATAGTATGAGAGCTTTGGTTGGATCTCTGTTGTCAAAAAACATGATGTTGAGGAGTCATAACTCCAACAGGTAGACAATAAGAAAGATGCCTTGATTATGCACATATGTGTACCTTTATTTATTGAATGTTATTGTATTTACTGATTAATGTTTTTAAATACTTCTGATATATTATTATTTATTTTATGTGATTTATTTGATTTATATCCTGCCCATCTGGTAGATTCTACCACTCTGGGCGGCAGTAATTAATGTCTTCAAGTAATCCCTGTCTTAAATTACATCTGCTCACCTGCATTTCAGTTGAGCCAGATCGTAAATAGCAGCACCTACTGGGGGATCTGGATAGAGCCTGAACATTGCCCAACTTAGAGCTGGGAAAAGCGGAAGTGTATCTTGAGAGAACCCAGGGGAAATTATTTTATTTGAAAATGGGGTCCTCCACATGTATCACCTTGAGTTTAATGGCATAGTAACTTATCTCCGTCTGTTCTGCATACGTTACTCCTAGCATCTGGAAAGTGGGCTGCAATCCACAAAAGCATGTATCAGATAAAACTTGCTAGTCTTTATAATGTGTCACAAAAATGAATAGCCTCTTATCTAAATGTAATGTGTTATTTTGCAGCTGGATATGATTTAAATGGATGGGCAGCAACCTGAAATATTTGGATCTGAAGACATCTCTAGAGTCCAGGGAGAACATCAGAAGTGCGGGCCAGAGAGACTTCTTTAGGTCCTCAGGTTCATAGAGTAGGCACCAAAAAAAATTGCCAGTATCTTGTAGACTGTTGTTTGGTTGTTCTGTTTGGTTGTTCAGTTGTTCTGTTGTTTGTTTGTTTGCCACCATACTTGTAAGTCATAGTGTCTTTTTTACTCAAATTTTCTTGTCACAGAATGTATCCATATCTTTAACAATAGATCTTTTTCATAACATGTTGCAATATGTCCCTCTTTGTTATATTTGCAAGATTTTTTTATGGTTTAACCTCATGGTCTTACCTGGTCAGAGAATACTGTCAGGGCAGAAATCCCTGTGGATTTTATAACCAGAAATGTGTGTTTGCATTGGGGGGGGGCAGGCTGACAAAAATAGTAGTGTGTGTTTATGACCAGCATAAATACTTAGCATACCAAGAAGCAATCCTATACATTTGGGGGGGGGTTGTACAAGGAGCTGAACACCCCCCCATTTGTCTATGCTGCCCCAAGAAGGAAAGCTGTACCATGGTGAATGTTCATCTGTCCGCGTTCATGGTTCTTGTGTCCATTCCAATTTAGCATCTCCTGGTTGAACCACAACTCACATTTTATGTGGTGATGTTGGTTTCGAAATTGGAAGCCTGTGTGTAGATCAGAGGTAGGAACTTCCCCAGATTTGGAGATGATATTGTCACAATCCCACCCATGCCACTCTCCAGATTCACTGGGCGATACTTACTTGGAAACATGCCATTGTGATTTTTGTTGCCATCAAGACCCAATGATTATGTTAGGAACTCTGGCACATTGAGCGTGTACATAATTCATTTCCCTAGCAACCCAATAGGACCATAATTACTTAGGTTCCTTTCCCGTCTTCCTGTCACCTCTTCCATCTTTTTGCTCCCAAAGTTTGTTTTGGAAACCTTCTTCATTATCCTTTTCTACAAGGTCGCTACTTCCAAGCAGTTTTTGTTCATTTGGTTTTTCTAAGACAACTTGCGGTGTAGCTGATTGTCAGTACTGTTAATGCTGAAAACATGGAATTTGTACATGAACATGATGCAGAACAATTTAAGTGATGCAGATGCCTTGTTTGTTCTCAAATACAAGATTGCTATTTAACAAGCAGGAAGAACCTAGAAGAATATTAAAAACTGAAATGTGTGTTGTGGAAAACTGGCCTTCTCATTTTTGCAGGAAATGTGCATGTTCAGAAAATAGAATTTGAATTGGCAACTTTCCATATCTTAACTTTCAAAGTCACAGCAGCCTGAAACCAAACAAACAAACAAATAAACAAAAAAGAGAGGAATGCTTTAAAAAACACACATATTTATCTGATGGAGGAAGTTTATTCCATGTAATGCAAGGGGGTACACCCTGTGCACCTCTAAAGGCTTAGGTTTGTCTCCTGTGGATACTGTGACCTTCACCGCTCATTTCATGCAGACGATTCTTTTGCTGCTGCTTCTACCATCACCACCTCCACTTCTGCCAGCAACATGGGAGGAGGTGTCTGTGTGAGGAAAATGGGATCTGCTTGAGGAATTTCAACATGGACCACTGACTGCCACTGAGATCCTAATATAGATCACATTTTCCTCATTGAGAAAGAGGGCTAAGAGAAGACTCTCTGCTTCATCCCGGTAATAAAAGATCAAGAGGAGTGTGTTCATGCATGTAGTCCTGAGATGGTATCACATACAGCCTTTGGGCCAATATATTTTCTGTTTCTCCTGTAATTCTGACTGTTTTTTGTCCTCCCTTCTCTTGTCTCCAACACCCTCAGTATGCTGAACTAGTATGAAGCAGTATAGGGAATGGTGTGGTTTTGGCTGGCCTGTAGGCACCTGGCATACAGATGCAGGATGCATCTACATCTGCAAAAGCATCATAATCTTCAGAGGAAGCCAGCTGGAAACTGCCACTAGTTTCCATCCACATTCTCCTCCTGTATCTGGACTCAGGAGTCTTATTTTGCTTGCAAAAGGAGTTTTCTATGGTGAGCTTCCAGAGCCTAAGACTTTGAAAGCTAATTGTCAAAGATTAATATCCTATAATGTTTTATTGACACTTTAATTTTATCAATATTATATTCTGTCTCTCTCCCAGTTCTGGAACCATGGTTATTACTTTAAGTAAAGAGTGATAAGAAATCGATTTGTTGTAAATATCCGGCTGGGCGGTTTTGTGTCGTCCTCCTGTTTCTCAGTTGAAAGATTATTAGTTGATCAACTATCTGTCTTTTAAACAAATAAATCCTGAAAGCATGAGGTGTCTGGAGATATGTGCTGATATAAAAGCAATTTTCCTTTGTGCTGGCAGAGTGGCTAGTAGGATATAAACCCTAAGTCTTAAATATTGCCTAAAGCATGACATTCCTGCTGTTAGCTCCGAGGCTGCCTAGTAAAATCCTTCAAACATATGTCAAGAGCTCACAAGCTAATCAGCTAAGAAGTAGTGTCTTTTGTATGCTGCTTTTGTATATGCTGCTGCAGCAGTAGGTTGGCTCTGGAGAATATTCTGTGGCTATGAGAAAGTCAGCACTTAGGTTTCTCCAGCCACCACCAGCACCCCCAGTTAATTTTTTGCTTTTGAACTGGCATGGCCCAGATGGGGCTGGATGGAGAAACACATCACTAGCTTCTCAGGTTTTGGAGTCACCAAATCTGTATTAGTTACCAGATCATCTGTCTCAGTGTTCAAAGTCTAACTGTATAGTTTGAGTTGAAGTTGTTAGCCGAATGTCCACCGTATCCCTCTCAGAGATGGGTACACCCAGGGAAAGAATATGTTATGTCTTTTAACAATATAGAGAAAATGTACACAAGCTCTTTCATTGGCCAGCAGAACTATTAATACAACCACCAGTTTTACATAAGTTGTGGAGTGGACAAAACAGAACATGCAGGCAGGCAGGAGCACTCTCTTGACTTGGTTGAGGTATATGTGCACACAGTCTAAGTCCTACTGGCTGAAATCCTGTTGCTTACTGTAATACGTTGCACTAAAGTAGGGTCACTGAATCTGGAGATTTGGTGAATCAACTCCTCTGTTAAGTTTCATTGGTCTAATGGGCCTCTAGTTGAGACTTACTTTAGTGTAGTAAGTCAGAACTAGAATAGGCCTATATGAAACAATGGAATTTATGAAGGAGTTGACTCATCAAATCCCTATGAATTCAATGGGCCTAACTCTAGTGTGATGTATTATTACCTTGTTTCCCCAAAAATAAGACATAACCTGAAAATACTGTAAGCCCTAGTATGATTTTTCAGGGTGCTCTTAATATTAGCCCTGCCCTAAAAATAAGCCTCAGTTAAGTGAAACACTGCCCTCCACTACTGTGCAGCAACCAGAAGAAGATATAACTGTGAAATACAACATCCCCTGAAAATAAGCCCTAATGTGTTTTTTGGAGCAAAAATGAATATAAGACCCTGTCTGATTTTCGGGGAAACATGGTACTAAGCAACAGGATTTTAGCTACCCTGTGGAGTTCAATTGTGTTTGTCTTTGTGGTGGCTTGCCTATGACAACTGTAGGACATAAAAGGGCAAGGGGGTGAATATCACGTTCCAAATGTTGTGTAGTGGATAGAGTAATGGGCTATGGCTCGGAAGACCTGAGTTCAGTTCTTGGGCAAGGGGGTGAATATCACGTTCCAAATGTGGAGTAGTGGATAGAGTAATGGGCAATGGCTCGGAAGACCTGAATTCAGTTCTTGGCTCAACCCTGGAAATTCACTGGGGGTGTGGAACTAGTAAAGCCACTCCTTGACTATTTTACCTTGAAAACCTTGTTAGGGTCTCTCACCTTGTCTAACTTCATCTGTCCTTGACTATCTCATTTAGCTTGAAAACCTTGTTAGGGTCTCTCATCTTGTCTAACTTCATCTAGACAACCACACATACCTTGAGGTATGTTAGGGTCGCTCTGTGTCAGTCCTATAGAGAAATTCTCTAGACACGTTGCCATTTTGAAATCCTACATGGTGCAGTCTAAAGACTAATCTGTTGAAATCAGAATATTCTGTAGGACTAGTCTCATTTAGCTTGAAAACCTTGTTAGGGTCTCTCATCTTGTCTAACTTCATCTAGACAACCACACATACCTTGAGGTATGTTAGGGTCGCTCTGTGTCAGTCCTATAGAGAAATTCTCTAGACACGTTGCCATTTTGAAATCCTACATGGTGCAGTCTAAAGACTAATCTGTTGAAATCAGAATATTCTGTAGGACTAGCAGTGATTTTAGAAAGGGATGAACAAATATAGCGGCTTCCTGAACCAGAGTCAACAGTGGATTGGATATATAACACCATACTGACATTTTTGCACCCAACTGAGACATTAGTTCCTGCGCTAATGATCACTTGTAGGAGCATCACATATGTGACATCATGTGACCTGTATGATTATGTACTTGGAAAATATCTGTGATCCCTACCCTTTTTTAACAGAGGGAAATGTGTAATCATTTTCATGGACTGAGCAAAGTTGACTAATTTCAGTTAGCATTTATTATGAGAAAGATGTGGGAAGGATAGGTTTCTTATGGCCCAACTGTCGTGTTTCTGTAGGGCTTGCTTGTCTCTTGTTCTCAAATGTTATATCTATTTGAATTTTTAATTCATGATGCCAGATCAGAAAGTCTTAACACCTGAACAACTTCCTAGGAGGCGTTTCTAGACCTCTAGGAAAAATCAGAAGCCTGTATTTGTCACAGCTGGTACTTATCCCTAAAAAGGTTAGTTCTAGTATGAAAACAGATAAACTGCCATTTCCAGTCATACCAAAATTCATCTGGGTATCAAAGTAATATATGCCGTTTTATTGTTGCAATGATTCTAGGCAACATGAGCTTGTCTATTTCTACAAGCTTTATTTATGTTGCTTCTGTGTTCCAGAATCATAACAATATTTCAGAGTTGTTGAAAAAAAATCAACTCTGTCAAAAAGTCACAAGTCACAGACCCATTTCATTTAGACAGAAATCAGTCTTATAGCTATGGAAAACTGTAGAGACAAATGCTTTAAAATACATGAAAATTATAAGCCAAAGTAGAAGTTGTAGGCAAATACTTAAATCAACTCCAGTAAATTTTATGCAGCGGCATAAAAGGTACAATAAAAAGTATCAAAAAGAAAGCTTTAATTACATTCTAAAAATGCAGGAGGCTTACAGCCTGAAAAAAAGGCACATGGAAACAGCAGAGAATACATCATAA